GGGCCGGGCCCACGTAGAAGACTTCGCCTGTGGGAAGGCAGGCGCCGGAAGGAGTGAGCAGAGGACAGGCGGGCCTAGGGGACCCTACCTGGAGCCCACCCGGGAAGGGGGGCTCGCTCCAAATAAGAGGCCGCTTTAACTTCTTTTTACAAATGTGGCATTTCGGGCTTCAGAGAGAGGGAGGGGCTCGGTAAGGGGTGGTAGGAAGGAGGAGAGGGGCAGAGGGGGATAGTGAGGGGGAGAGGCTCGGGGCCTCAGAGAGGGAAGAGGCGCAGATGGAGGGGAAGGGGCGCCGAGAAGGAGAGGGGCTCAGGGAGGGGAAGAGAGCTCAGGGCAGGGGTGGACCCACGTCTTGGCTGCAGGTTTAAAGGATGAGGATTAGGAGGGATGGGGGTTGGGGAAGGTAACGGGCTCAGGGAAGGGAAGGGTCCTGTCAGCCCCAGACTTACCCCCCAGCTCACGGGCAAAGCAATACACATCATAGAGTTCCTGTGGGTCGCGCCTCCCATAGCTCCTCACCCCTGGAAGGCTGCTACGGTCACCATAGCAACCAGGACGGGACTGGGTGATAGGATACCTGACAAGACAAGGATGTGTGCTCCTGGGGCCCCCCAAAACCATCTTTCCCCAGGGGCTAGCTCACCATTTCCCCACCCTGCGCACCCCCTCACCGAACAGTGCGGTCAGAGAGCCACCCCGCATCACAGTTGTCAAAGCCATCCTCAAAGGCAGCCTGCAGGTGCCGTGGGGCTGCAATGATGGCTGAGCTGAGACGACAGGCCTCTTGGGCCTGGACAAAGGTCAGTGCATAGCGATCCTGGGCTGCCCGGTAGTGGAACACAACACCTGTGAAGAGACATCCAGAATAGGGGACCGACCGATTTATTCTGAAATCTTTAAGAACAGACCTCCTTCTGCAGAATGCCCTCCCCCTCCCCCCGTTAGTCTGATAATAATAGAACTCCTGCCCTACACTGCCCTTCATTCAGCACCAGACGTGACATTAGGGGCAGTGGTGGGGATGAGACTGATATGCCCCCATTTCACAGATGAGGAAGCTGTTAGCAATGGCCATAAAGGACTAGAATTTGTCAAATATTTACTATGTAAAAAGCATTTATAAGCGTTATCTCGTTGAAATTAAGGCTCAGAGAGGTTCAGCGACATGGCCATGGTCACACAGCCAGTTTGAGGCAGAGCCAGAATTCATATCCTGGAAGATCTGACTCCAACGATAGCATTCTTCATGCCCATGGTTAGGCCCAAGAGGTGACAGGAGGTATGAAGAAGAGTGAGAGAGATCCTGCCATTTAGGAATTAAGTACATGCATTCATAGGGGAATCACTGGCAGCAATGGAAGATCTAATGTGGTTATTGCCCAGCCTAGACATGGAGGCTTGGGGGGCTTCCTGGAGGAGGTGACATGTAAGTCAGGATGGGAAGCCCATTATTGACCGGACTTTCTGTGACTCAGATTCTGATTTAGGGATGAAAGAAGTGGTTGAGCCAGATACAGGAATGAAACATTTTGCTCCATCTTATTAAGCTGGGAGCCCCTAGAGCAGTGATGGTGAACCTGTGACATGCGTGTCAGAGGTGACACGCGAACTCATTTTTTTGGTTGATTTTTCTTTGTTAAATGGCATTTAAATATATAAAATAAATATCAGAAATATAAGTCTTCGTTTTACTGTGGTTGCAGATATCAAAAAATTTCTATATGTGACACGGCACCAGAGTTAAGTTAGGGTTTTTCAAAATGCTGACACGCCGAGCTCAAAAGGTTCGCCATCATTGCCCTAGAAGGTGGCAGCTACATCTCAGTCATGACAGTGTCCTTAGCACCAGGCTGGCATGTGGGAGGTGCCCAATTAATATTTCTTAGGTGATATTCACTGGGTGACCTCCTCCCCTTCCCGCCTTGACCCTTCCCCTGCCCTCAACTGACCGGTCACCTCCAGGGATACCAGGTTCTGCTCGTCCTCGATGCCTCTCACCACCTGGCAGCGGTAGAGCCCCGAGTCGCTGGCCCGCAGGGGCCCCAGCAGCAGCGTGCCATTGGCCCGGTGCTGGGGGTAGGCGGGCAGAGACACACGTCCCTGCCAGCCCTTGGCCACTCTAACCACGTTGTTCTTGGCCACCAGGATGGGCAAGTCCTGCCATTGGCCTGATGCAGTGTGCACCTTGGTCCACTTGATCCGAGGGGCTTCTCCAGCTGCACTCGGCCGCGGCCACAGGGTGAAGAAGCAGGGCAGGGCCACCAGCTCCGCCAGCGCAGCTCGCACAGAACCAGACCCCGCCTTCTGCATGCGGAGCCCCTTCT